GGAGTTTGAAGGAAGAGATCGAGCTGCAAAAGCCTGCAATCGATGTGTCACGCCACAACGTTGGAAACAACCTGCCTTTCACAAATTCACACCATGTCCATGACTGATGTTATACCTGCCTGGCCATTGACTGAACATCCCCTTCCTATAACCTCAAGCAAACAGAGAGGCCAAATTGTGCTTCTCCGCGCTGGATGCTTCAATATTCATCGGGGGTAACGCCCTTTACCTATTGGTCGGGGGCAACCCCCTTCATTGGTTGGGGGTAACCCCCTTTACCTATTGGTCGGGGGTCAGATAACCCGTTACTAACCCCCTTTACCTATTGGTTGGGACTCGGGGGTAAGTTGGGGTAACCCCCTTTACCTCAGGCAATGATCAAACAACTGAAAAGAAGATGTACGTGTTACATCGAACGAAAGGAAACTGTAAGGTTCTCGAATCGAAAGTTAAGTCTTTTCTCCATCTATCTGCAATTGCTCTTGCTCTTGCTCATGAAGATTACCTTCTTCCCCCGAATACAACGTACGGTCATTATACTAGCTGTATTGAGACTGAAAGATACCCCAAATAGAGCTATAATGACCGTACATTGTGTTCGGGGGAAGAAGGTAGTAGGGGAAAGTTGATACTGCTTTTTCTAATCATCCTTTCCTTGCTCTCCACCCCCCATTCCTCCCCCCTGGATATTTTGGTCTGGTTCTGCTTTTGCCCTCTAGTACCGCAATGGCAGATACAAATATATAATGTTAAGTCATTACCCATTCCTTCTGCATGTTGCTTGTGTGGCCTTGTCCTTGTGATGGCGATGAAAGGAGTGCTTATCTCGTCTTCGAGATATCCCTGCCGGGTTTTAAGTACGTTTTAGGGTAGATATTTTGGTCGTTCTAATTGAACAACGACGATTTTATTATCAAGACCTCCATGTCGTTTCTCACTGGTGCTCTTAGCTCTACAAAACCGTTTTGGCAACGAAGCCACGTAGTAAACTGTCACGACCGTCTTCCCTCGAACAGAACGCACCCTGATAGCGAATGTATACAATCTGGTCATGTGCAGCCAAAATGAGGGTGTGCTGTGTTCGGGGGCACACGGTGGTGTTGCTTCCACCAGAGCAAAGTGTGTTGAACAAACTTGCCGAAGTTATCGCCCTTGACAAATTTAGCCTACCTTCTTCCCCCGAATACAATGTACGGTCGTTATGGCTGTATCTGGACAGAAAGATGCCTCAAATCCAGCTATAATATGACCGTAACGTTGTATTTGGGGGAACAAGGTAGGTCAGTTGGTACACCCCTGAACTGTTGAAATACGGACCCGAGTTCGAGCTCCAGTGGAAGCAGACGAGCAAAAGAATACAATTTTGAAACGCCTACCTTCTTCCCCCGAATACTGCGTACGGTCATTGTAGCTATATTTAGACTGAAAGATGCCCCAAATACAGCTATAATGACCGTACATTGTACTCGGGGGAAAAGGTAGGGCCAGTCAGTTCAATGATGATATCGCAAGGCCGTCGCCCCTTTTACATAAAAAAAAAGAAGAGGGAAAACAAAAGGAAAACAAACGGATCGACTAAAGTCTTGCCTGTATGCACTTCTTGAAGTTCTTGTATGTTTGTGTTTGCTTGTGCGTGTGCGCGCTCGTGTGCGTGCGTGTGTGTGTGTGTGTGTGTGTGTGTGTGTGTGTGTGTGTGTGTGTGTGTGTGTGTGTGTGAGAGTGAGAGAGAGAGAGAGAGTGTGTGTGTGTGTGTGTGTGTGTGTGTGTGTGTGTGTGTGTGTGTGTGTGTGTGGGGGGGGGGTGGGGGGAAGGGGGGAACAAGCAGGTGAAAAATGGTTTATGGATCATGCCCAGTCTACCAGACAAGCTGGAATGTAAAGCGCTGGAGAGTTTGGCAGGGACGTATGGTAAATTCTGGCTGACGTGGCAAGCGGACAGAGGGGACAGGTTGCCGCTGGGTGCGCCAGCGCTAATGGTATCGCCCCAGGGGGGGGTCGCACTGCCGCGTCCAGAGCAAATTGCCGTTCGTGATGCCAAATATAAAATCGCGACTGAGGCCAAGGCTGAGTACCGCATGGAATGTATACCCGCCAAGGAAGCCGTCGATCCACTGGCTGATTACTGGAAGACCGGCAAAGCTTGTGTTGCGGAAATGGAGGAAACCGATATGGTATTGAAGGCGGGCACTCCGCTGGCGACCCTCTAGTCCCCGAAGTGTGGACGTGTACAGATGGTCCACGCACATAGCAAGTAGGAGTTGAGCTTGGTAGTAAGAGGAGGAGGAGGAGGAGGAGGAGGAGGGAGGAGGAGGAAGGGTATTGCAGACTTGCACCACATAGTTGCAGTCTTTTCGGCGTTTGAAGTCGTGCATTTGCATCCTTGGATCTTTTGACAGTCAACTGAGAAACATGCCCTCTGAGTCAGTCCTCAGAGAAGAAAAAACGTTTTCAAATTGGACTCGCTGTATTGGCTTAGGAGTAGTGTCAGGGACGCCGATTGCTTCGTAGAGATTGTGGAGATGGTTCCAACTGAGATTGTACTCGACAGCGGCGAGAGAGGTTGAAGCTGGCTGTTGGATGTAGATCACATCATCACACTATACTCAAGTGAGGAGGATGAGAAAACAATTATGGAGGTGGAGAGAGGAGAGCGGAGAGAGAAGACAGGAGAGAGGAGAGAGAGGACCTGAGGGAAGGAGGAGACAAGAGGAGAGGTAATGGAGGTGGAGAGAGGAGAGCGGAGAGAGAAGAGAGGAGAGAGAGAAGGACAAGAGGGAAGGAGGAGATAAGAGGAGAGGTTGAAGCTGGCTGTTGCATGTAGATCACACTATACACAAATGAGGAGGACGAGAAAGCAATTGAGGTGGAGAGAGGAGAGCGGAGAGAGAAGAGAGAGAGGACCTGAGGGAAGGAGGAGATAAGAGAACTTGAAGAGAAGGAGAGGAGGGGGGAGGAGGAAGGAGATGAAGACAGAAGTAGCGTTGATAAAAATGAGAGTTAATAGTCTGAAAGACTGAAAGTGTAGCATACAGATCTCATATCGCCGATGAGAGCGGATGTCCTGAAACAGTCCCTTCCGCTATACGGCCATTCTCAGGGGAGTTAAGAGTAGTGGCAGGTAGGTAGTAAAGGTGAATTTTTAAGAATTTATAGCATACTAAAACAATAAAAATAGAAAGCATTGAGCAATTGGGACGCCGCAAACCTGCGAGCCATCATTCATGGGTATCCTTCAGACAAATTCTTTTTCTTTTTCAAAAGCTTAAGCTAAATCGTCTCTCAGTTTCACCTCTCAGGCTCTCACTACCTATCTAGCACTCGACTTTGTACAACAAGATACTTTGTCGCAGTGGATTGACGATTTCAACCAGTTCATATTACTCGCAGTGGATTGTCGATTTCAACCAGTCGATATTACTTCATACTTGATAATCTTCCGTTGACTCATGTCGATGGTGTTGATTTAACTTCATTGCAAGTCTTATCTTCCTTTGACTCAGGCTGATGATGTTGTGGTCCTTGTGGATCCAAGTCATGGGAGTGTGTTTCATCGCACAAGCTACATTTTTCATGGACACATGCGTCGCATGGAGAAAAAGATTGATCAGACGAGGGATTTAGAATGGTGTCAACAAAAAAAAGCAAAGAGAAAAGGGGTCAGATCCAGGGATTTAGAATGGTGACAACAAAAAAAGGAAAGAGAAATAGCTGTCAGAGTTCGTTAGACTGCAGTGGTGCTATTTGCACGAAGAAAGCACTAATAAAAGGAGTGTAACTTGTGTAAGGCAGCCTCTGGTCCGAGGAGCGATGTATTGATTTGCTTTAGGGAAAGTAGTGATGGGCAAGTGACCATGCTCCCACTGAGAGTAGGCCCAGTAGGGAGGGGGATTCCAGTAGAACGGGGCAAGTGACCATGCTCCCACTGAGAGTAGGCCCAGTAGGGAGGGGGATTCCAGTAGAACGGGCCAAGTGACCATGCTCCCACTGAGAGTAGGGGGATTCCAGTAGAACGATGCGAAGTTGCGATCTGCGCAGGTCGGGGCCACAGGATGAGAACGGGATGAAAAGCAAAGCATGGCATGCAGGGTTTTCAACCTCGGCAAAGAGAGCCTCGGAGGTAGTGGCAGTTTGAAGTATGTACAATGTGCGACTTGCTGGAGTACACAGGTGCGGGAATCTTTATGGAAATACCAACCTGGTTCACCCTGCCCCAGTGGGTTACTAGCCCTTATCGTGCTGACTATGTGCTGACTATGCCATTGGGGAAAGCTGTACTTGGCCCAGCTATTGGCCACGGAAAAAAAATAGAGTAGAAACGTTTAGAGTTTGATGAATTTGGGCGCTCCTGTAGTGGCCCGTACGTTTCCTAAAATCGAGGTGTGTTAACGGGCACGACTTTGGGAAGTACTGGTGGTTTGAGCTTCATGCCATGAAGACAATAAACCTGAAAAAGATCATTCTTCTTGCGCGGTTCATCAAGTCCCGGCAGAAACAGTTCCCTTGTGGGGGACGGCCTTGTCACTACTAATAGCGGCCCATCAGTGGTCCTCGTAGAGAGATGTATGTTCAAGACAATTTGAAAGAACAGTTATGTAGTAGAAGCCTCTTCGGCTGCTGATGAACCAATTTGTCTTTGTGTGTAAACGGAGTCCTTGCCATTGTGTACGGTCTCCGCCCAGGTGATTTTGTTTCATTCTTTGCAACACATTCCGTCCCAAACGAGGACTCGAGGTGATACACGCTCTCCCAGTCGAGAGGTGATTTGGAATTCCTGCTTCTTCTGTTGCATTGGCAAGCAAAGCGGAGGAGCACAGGTGTGTCCAAGGCTCCTGGCATTGCTCAAAACGCTTCCAGAGGAGCGATATGTGCACGGCTGGCAGACGGTGGTGTTGCTTTGATCAGGGGGTGCAGGGGGTAGGGAAACGATAACTCCAAGGTTATCGAGGCTATTGCGTCTCTTTTGCACGAGATCATAGCGGAAGGCCCTCAGTGACTGGATGGGTGACTCAGGGTGGGTGAGCCAGCCTGAGGTGGTGTGGGTGGTGAGTCTGACCGGCGACTGCAGTGCAACTGCAGTGGAGGGTGAGCTTGAACTGAGGGGTATGGGAACATTTGACCGTCAGAACCCCTTAGAAAGATGGTAGTCATTATAACGAGGGCCGTCGAGGGGCCTCTCTGTGGACGCTGGACGGGTCGCGCCACAGACGCTGATTTTTGGTGCGCCGTTTGTCTGAATTGTTTTCATGGTCTAAAGAATGGTGGGCCGTTTGCTGTTGGCCGTGTCATCAGTTTGTAATAATTGTGGAGTACATGAAAATGCTGTGTGCAAGCCTTGCTGTAGAGTCTGCACCATGCAAATGCACCTGCAGACATTACCTTCGGTTTAGCCATTGTACAGACGAGATTATTAGGATGAATAAATGGGCATGGAATGGTTGTCATTGCCGGTGTCATCATCCTAGTACAAGTTGTGTTCCATAAATATACGAAACTCGATGCGTGCGTGTGTCTTGCCGCTACGCTGGCTACAGAGCTTCCATCTGTGCAAAAAATGATGCACTTTCAGAGCTTAATATCCTGGATTTCGCCCTGAACAAGTCAGACCTCCAGCACGTAGACTGCTTTTGGCCGAGTCTCAGCGTGAGTGAGAAATGTGATATATGTTTTGGTGGAAGACCGCTTTATGGAGTCTGTTTGTGAGTAATACAGACGTTGTTGGGCGCCGACTTGCCGAGCCCTTCACTCCTGACAAGCTCTGGTGAAGAATTTGGTTTTCTCTGCTTGAATTTTGGATTCGCAGAGGGTCAGGGTTGATTGTCATAAGTTGATTGAGTATGTTTGCTGAGGCAGAACGCTTGATGGCGTTGTGCAAATGGTCTCTTCTTTTTCTTCTTCCTCTTTTTCCCACAAATGGTTGTCTTTCGTCCAATGGCATGTCTCTTACAAAACTTTCTCCCTTGAGGTCACAATGATCATTTCAAAATAAGTCTACATATTATTCCGATGCGCAATTTGTTCTGCCATACCTGATGTGATTCCTGTGATCAAGGGGGCATTACGTGGAGTTACGGAGTTTTTCCGGGTTTTTCCGGGATGTCACGGCTCCTTGCATTTTGAGACCTACTATTGTCCTAAACCTTTGTGTTTGCTCTCGACGAGCCTCTCGTTTTGGCTTCTTCTCCCACTTGATCTGCAGTCTCCTTGTCTCTGCGTCCTAACTGTCCCCTCTTATCCCTTGTCTTTTGTGTACTTGCTTTTCTCCTCTCCTCTCCTCTCCTTCTACCCTCTCCTTCCGCTCTGTTGGTTGAACTGGGTTCTTCCCTTCGTTCCTTTTTTCTCATCCCTTCCAAGTCTGCTGAAATCCTTCTATGCTACCTACTTTCAAGTTGAGTCCATCTTGATGTTGATATTCTTTATTATGCTGTCAGTTGTGTTTGGTTCTTGTAGCTTCTGGCTTCGGGTTCTTCACATATACCCTCTCCTCCTGTCTGTGGTATTCTTCCATATGCAGTACGAGAGAGTAAGAAGGGATGATACCAAGGTGAGGTATCGGAATATGAGTTGATGTTTCTAGAATTGACCATCGTGCCTGATTTTGCTTTTCACTACCCTTTGTGTTGCCCATGCATGTGCGCAATTGAGCTACAAGCTACTACGGATGAGACACGTATAGCTGATCATTTTTTAATTTTATTTTTTTTATTTTTTTTTAAACACCCCCACCGGTGCTAGTGGTGCTGATAAGAGCAGACACCACTACCACCCGGGGAGAGGCTCCATCTATTGGTGGGGAGCATCACCTACTGGAAATGGGCCCCACGTCCCATATATAGAGTGTAATCAGAGAACATCAGAGAAACAATCTGGCCAGCATTGATTACCCTGGATTACAGGGGATTGACTGAGCAGGACATTTGGAAAAAACTTGGGACTCCGAGAGAGTGTAATCAGAGAACATCAGAGAAACAATCTTGCCAGCATTGATTACCCTGGATTACAGGGGATTGACTGAGCAGGACATTTGGAAAAAACTTGGGAGAGTGATTTTTTAGAACAACAACCGGAGAAAACCTGCCGATATTGACTGCTTTGGACTCCAGAACTGGTTGTGAAGGCTCTCTAACTGTAATCACCGAACCAGCTGTCTATAATCTGCAGACGCCATGGGCCTGGAAACAGCAGCCCTCATGCAGAAAGATGCCTGAG